CTATTTGTGTATATATGGGACGTGACCTAACCCACATAGATATGGAAAGTAACATGATAGCAACATGTACAAAGTTTAGGTTCAGACCCCAGAAGACTTACAAGGTGTATCATTCTTGGGTCACTGGATTGGATTTTAGGGCTTTATCACCGAAGTGTGACCAAGGGGAAAATGTCCTTATCATAAGGGGTGGGAGAGTGGGGACAGGGTTGAAACCAGAAAAGGGAGGAAGAGAAGTTTTGGGAGAAGTGGGAATCACGCTGAGACTCTGCTCCGACATCTGATGGGTACTTTCTGAGCCTCTCCTCTTCCCTCAGTTGACACCGTATTTCCGCACCTGTGGCAACGACTGCATCCGTCGAAAAGGAACTGTTGTGCTTTGTCCACAAACAGATATGTCCTTCCCTCTGGATAACAGTAAGTGCCCAGTCACTGTCACCAGATGATCAAAGAGGTTCAGGACATGAGGGCCACTGTCACCACTCCCCACGAATCTGACAGTGTGTACATGGGGATGGGACAGAGTCCCTGCTGTGGATGCTGAACTAGGGGGCAGGGAAAGATGTCAGAGCTGCCCAGAGCCTGTGGTTAGAATAAGAACGAAGGCTTTATTTATAAGACCACCCCAAGTCCTTTATGAAGCACGATATATACAAAAAGGGGGGGAAATAAACAGTGCAAAATGGATGTTCAGAGCCACAAGGATCTGCTGAAAAAAGGTCAAGAGCATAACAGGACTGAGTAAATAAGAGAATATGCATTTCCCTGCATTTATCTCATCAGTCCCCATGGCCCAGGCCTGGCTGTGGCTGTAACTTGATGGGGACACATGGCCAACATTTGGATAACAAATTAGGAATACTGGCACCAGAAGACACGCCTCATTGGAGAGCAGAATGTTCTGGAAAATGTGTCTCCAGATTTAGAGAAGTTGGTGTTCCCATTTACAGATGGACAAATAAGATGTTCTGGAACTAGCCCAAGGGTGGAGTCAACACTTGACAAGTGTCCTTAGAAATGCAGCCAAATCAACTGAAGACAACCCAGGTGCCTAACAGTCCTGACTGTGTGGCCACAGTGACTGTGGGCTCCTGAGCGCATCTGTGTGCCTGAGATTACCTAGTCCTGGCATTCTGTGAGGGGTGGCAATACCCCCCACAGACCCAAGACTTACAAAACAGCCTTTAAAAAGGCCATCTCTGGGTACTAGCTACTAAGTATGTGCCCAGAATAAAATTAATTCATCAAAGAACAAAACAAACAAACAAAAAAAGAACATGAACTCTGGTTACCACGGTGTAAACACGGAGTAGGAAGCCCAAGTGATTTGAGAGGACTGTTCTCTGCCTCCTCCTATATCCCTCTTGAGAATGGAGTGAAAGAAAGATGTGGACACTGTAGGAAAACATACCATTCTGCAGACCTAGAGATCTAGAGGCCTTTGGTTTTAAAGGGGTCTAAACTTCTGCAAAGTATAGAGTAAAAATCTTAGTTTCCAAATAGGAGGTCATGTGGTTTGGTTTTGTTTCTGCAGGCAGAAGCGTGCTCAATGGCTGGCTGCCTCTCCTCCTGGCCCCACTGGCCGCCCTGTGGATGCTGGCGGTTGGGATCTGTCTCATGCGGAGGCATGGTAAGGGCAATAATGCCGTGCTTTAAAGAAACCTGGATGAAGAAATAACACTTTGAATGTTTTTAAAGGAGATTCTTCTAGAGCAGTACTGGTCAGCAAACAGCGGCTCATGAGCCACATGCGGCTCTTTGGCCCCCGAGGGTGGCTCTTCCACAAAATACCATGGCCTAGGCGAGTCTGTTTTGAGGAAGTGGCGGTAAAAGAAGTTTAAGTTTAAAAAATTTGGCTCTCAAAAGAAATTTCAATCATTGTACTGTTGATATTTGGCTCTGTTGATTAATGAGTTTGCCGACCACTGCTCTAGAAGCAATCCCATTTTGGCACTGGACAGGACTCAGATAGCATTTACTTAGTGCCCAGAGCGCTCTTAAAAACTGACGTTAACGACTGGGTCACATCTGCTGAAGTAAAGCAGGGACTGAATCTCCAAACCTGTGGCTATCATGTTTTATTTTTACCACTGAAGCATGGGCATGTACTGAAAAGGGCACAGATCGCTAATAAGGAATGGTACTGTACCTGTGACAGGTACTCTCTGCTAGTTCCTATTTTTAAAAATAATTCTTTTAAGAACAGTGGCAACTTAGACTCATACACTCTAAGGACTTGCCAACATTAAAATATTGAGAACTGACTATAGAAACATGAGTAAAAACACCACACTGCGAGAGGAGGAAATAAAAAGGCAGTCTACATCTGATAGATAGAACAAGCTTAATCTCGTGACCTAGGCTAAGAAAGCTGTGGAACTTGGACCTCGGGAATACTTGTACTTAGAAGATGTTGTGTGGCCTGAATTAAAGTACTTTCAAAAATGGTTTCTGTTCGGTAGCACACATAGGGCAGCTTTCCAGATCCGTTCCAGCTGAAAAGGGGCGCCACTTAACTATGGATCTATAAAGAAATGCTACCACCTGCAGGTAGAAAATGGAATTACTACTGAATTGACCGGAAATGTGAAGGGCAGAGGCCAGGATGTTTGTTCCTGTTTATATATGGTACTAATAATACTCCAGTTACAACCACCCACCTAAAACAGAATACCTCAAACCTATGAATTTACCTGAAAAGGTATGGCTTGACTAAGAGACTGATTTAGTGATAAGGACTTACAAAATATAGCTTTTACAACATCTTTACCGCAAAGGACTGCCATTTGCTGTTTATAGAAAACAAATGCTTTTCTCTCTCCACAGAAAGGATCAGTACTTCCTTCCCCACCACCACGCTACTGCCCCCCATTAAGGTTCTTGTGGTCTACCCACCCGAAATATGTTTCCATCACACAGTCTGTTACTTCACCGAGTTTCTTCAGAACCACTGCAGAAGCGAGGTTATCCTGGACAAGTGGCAGAGAAAGAAAATAGCCGAGATGGGTCTGGTGCAGTGGCTCACCACGCAGAAGCAAGCTGCGGAAAAAGTCGTTTTCCTTCTTTCCAATGATGTCAACCCCGGGTGTGATGGCACCTGTGGCAAGAGCAAGGGCAGCCTTCATGAGAACTCCCAAGACCTGTTTCCCCTGGCCTTCAACCTCTTCTGCAGCGACCTGAGGAGCCAGACGCATCTGCACAAATACCTGGTGGTCTACTTTAGAGAGGCTGATACCAAAGACGATTACAATGCTCTCAGCGTCTGCCCCCGGTACTACCTCATGAAGGACGCTGCCACTTTCTGCGTGGAGCTGCTCCGCGCCGAGCGGCACGCGTTGGCGGGGAAAAGGCTGCCAGCCTGCCACAGCCTCTCCTCCGTGTAGCCCACCCCCAGGAAGCGAGAACTCGAAGCCTTCCTAGCCCTCGTTGGAAAAGCCTGTGTTGGTTCTGGAGTTTACTGTACAGACTGCTCGTAGGGCGGATTGTATGCATGTATGTATATAATTGCGTTAGTAATAGGGAGGGCTCGTAAAGGAACGTATACGCCTTCGTCTAGTCATTAAAAATCTTATGTCACTCGTTACAGATATTACTGTAGACTAATACTATTGTAGTATTAACTGAACGGAAACTAAACTTGTAATTATAAAGCTAAATCTTATTTCATAACTAAAACAATCGTTACAACATGAAACCGTACCATCGGACAGTGCCTCTTCCTGCTGAACGTTGTCTTGAATAGACCCTGCCCTGCATTGTTGGCAGACGTGTTTAGCTTTGTAACGTGCTAAGATTAATTAATGAATGCTAAACTTAGTAAGCCCTAGCTAATTCACTCAATTTTTTAGGTAAAAACGCGCTCTCACACGCATCTTCATTTTTAACACAAATAGGAACAACAGGCTGGACCCATCTTTGCTGACCAGACGAACCTAGTACATCTGTATCCACTTGTAGTATTTGGCATTTTCATAGCACCTTTTCTCTCCAAAGTAGGTTCGTGTCCTATTTTCCTCTTGTATAGGTGTCTCTTGTACATGAACACCAAAATACACTTGCAGACCCGTAGTCTACTTTTGTCCAGTTACCTACTAGAGGTCACTGTCAGAGTTCAGTTTCTTGACTATGTAAGTTTCTGTGTTTAGAACAAAAATAATTCCTATGTTGGAAGACAGCCCTCTTGAAGTAAACTTATAAAAATGAGTTATTATAATGGCTTATTAGGTAAAAACAAACTACCATAGAGTTACAGAATACAAGAGTTATGTGGTATTTTGAGACTTTTTTTATTTTCCTAAAAGCATCTTTTTTATCCTACGACACCAAAAGGTTATATATGTTAGCATATTTCTGGGAATGCCTGTCCTTTCACACAGCAAAATACTAAAGCACAGAAAGAAATCTCACTGTGTCCAGCTTCACCAGCAAATACTTAGTAATGACTCAGTCAATATGTTTAATGTGGCAAAAGTCATTTGTCAGATTAGTCTTCACAGTGCTTTAAAGTGCTGGTGATAAAAGACGGACATGGCTGTTAAAACTTGGACCAGAAGCTAACTTCCTCTGAATCAACACCTACCAGTTATCAGAGCAATATGCTATTACGTGAAAAACCATTGCAAACAGAAGCAGCCCTGGCCCTGTGACTCAGTTGAGCGTTGTCCCATGCACCGGAAGGTAACTGATTCGATTCCCAGTTGAAGCACATGCCCAGGTTGCAGGCTCAATCCCTGGTTGGGTACAATCCACCCTACAAGTAGCCTGTACAATACAGCGTTTAGGAGGTAGCTGATAGATATTTCTCTCACATAGGTGTTTCTCCATCTCTCTCTCTCTTTTCCTCTCTCTCACATCAATAAACACATTAAAAACAACAACAAAAATTATATTTTTGGAACTAGGTAGCCAATACTAAATTGTATTGATACAGCTCAGTAACATAAAATCTTATGTAAATGTATTTTTAAAAAAGGTTTTAAGTCAAAGAACATACGACTTTCAAACTGAAGGCATACATTCCAAATAGTACTACCAAGTTACATTTTGTTACACCCTCCCTTGTTCCTAACCTACTAGGCAGATACATAAAATACTCTTATTGTAAAATGCTATTACCAGCATTGCTCCATGTCTAAGGACTTATTACCATCCTTATTCTATATTCCACTCTTATTTACCCCTTAACTGTCCCTATGTTCGTCTTTGCCCCAGTCCCACCTCCAGTTCTTGGTGGTGAGATAGTGGAAGCAAGTGCGAGAAACTGGCAGGAATTGGGCACTGCCCAACCCTTCCAGGTCTCTGAGCCCCCATGCTGTGCTCACTGACTGGCTCTGGTTCAGTTCAGCAAGCAAGGCCTCCTCTTCTGCTCAGGCTTCTCTAAGGCCTGGCCCTCTGGTGGTGATAGCTGTCTGCTTCACACTGCTCACAGGTTAAGGTCAACTGGCCACACTGAACACAAAGAACTCCAAATGTTTTCACTGGTCCTTCAGATAAAGAGAATTGTTAGCAGTAATTGCAGCAGTCAGCCGGCTTATCTGTACAACACATGCTAACAACCCTAAATTATACCAAAGTCATTCCTATTGGCCGTATCAAAGAAACAAAATTCCCTTTCCAGCTCTCGTTCTGTTTTGGTCAGATGATGACTGTTTTCTTTTCCTTGCCCTAGAGCATGTTGAGTAACAAAAACCAGACAGCCCAATCTGCCCTGACAAATCTAGACCTGAATCTGCCCTCATCGTTTTTGTAATGTAACAGAAAAATTTTAAAAACAAAAACTTGTTCCTATTTGAAATTCTGAGAACACTCAAGACACATGATGTGCTCGCTGTTCTAGCCAAGAGGGAAAATGTCATGACCATACAATGCATGCTCCCAAATCACACCCCCCTCCTCAGGGATGCAGGAGACTGTCTCATGTCACTCAGAAGTCAACTGCAATGAAGAGCTTCACCACTCGACAATGGCTCAAGCTCTCACATCACTGGGAGGTTCCTGAGACCCTGAAAGGGGCGGGAGACACTAGTGCATTTATTCTCAAAGGTCGATTGCAAAAGTAGCTTATAATTTCACAACAATGTCATGTCCTCAACACAAGTTAAAATTCATTTATTTTCCATGAAATTGAAGCACTTAGGATAATAAACTTAAAAATATACGTGTGTGTGTGTGTGTGTGTATGTGTGTGTGTATATATATATATATATATATATATTCTCTAAGAGTCTTTTATACCAAGAGGCTTGTTTCGGGTCTCCAAGAGTGACTTTTCCTGTCCATTTCACCATACGAAGGCAGCTCGCTCTCGTAACATGCGGACACCAAAGCGCTGCCATTCTCGCTGGTAGATCCACAGTTCCTGTGTCGTATCCAAACAAGCCAGCACTGCGCCCCCTTTCCATGCGATCAGCCGAGGATCCATGTCCTAGAGCGGCAGTACAGATAGGTCAGCACAAACAGACAAGATGTCCCCTCAATCATTTATTTGAATTTTGGGGTGGAAACTCCCCCTCCACTTCCCCACCCCCAACTGAGTTAATACCTGATAAGCCAGATTTTAAACCTGCGTTAAGTACTCTGTATCAACTGACAAAACTTTTTAGTTTGTATTTCTATAGCTGCTATTATTCACCATTATTCCACAAACAACTCTGAATACAGAACATATGTAAGGAAATAACTTACTTTGAAATTGGGGTAGAATAAATATATCCCACAATCTCTTCCTCAGGATTAAAATTAAGTGAGAACATTCCCAGGAATTGTCAATGAGACAATGAAGCATAGGCACAATTTGTTTCTAAATTCCTAGGTTTATATTTCAAAACAGCTCAAGTCTAAATGATTCTTAACGATCACCTGGTCTAGGGACCGGTAGCAGACTCTCAGCATGAAAGATAACGGAGTCGTTCTGGCTGGTGGCATGACCCAGGCCAGTCTCCTCCGGGTCCCACCGTCCTACAAAGGCAGTCAGTCTTGCTAGCTTTGGAGAGCACAGCAGGGACTAAAACCCAGAATCCAGTCCCCTTGCTCAGAGCTCCTTTCTCCACATCTATGACCTGCTCTAAGTAACATTTCCACTTGCCCCAAACCCTCAAGAACTCCCAGACATATGACAATAACTTCCAGGACTTTATCTGTCCACATACAATAGAATTAGAAATATGGAGGTTCCATTTGCACAGTCCATACCTTGGGCCTTGTGATGACTTCTACGTTTTCAATAATTCGCCTGAAGGAAGGTGGCATTTTGTTGAGAATTCTGTGCTGCAGAAATTCTTGTGCTTTATGAAACATCAGGCCACCTCCCACCACCAGGATGGAACTGTACATTTTCTTTTTGGTGTCATCAGATGCTGCAAAGACAGTGATAGCCCTTCCATGCTTACCCACCCACCCTAGGCATACCCACCACCACCTCTTGCTTAGTTAGAAAGTGCAAAAGCCCTCTTAAGGATCTCTCTCCAACCCCTCAACAATGCAGCCAGAGGAACCTTGTAAAACACAAATATGAGCATGTTGCTACCCCAACCCTGGTACTTGCAGCAAGATCCAAATCACTGAGGAGCCTAAAAAGCCCCATGTAGCGTGCACTCACTTCTCTAGCCTCCTCCTCACACCGTGTCCCATTCACACTGGCCCTCACTCAGGCTTCCTCCTCAGCCTGAAATGCCACCCATCCGTGACTGGCTAACCCCCACTCACCACCCAGATCTCTCTCAAGTGGTTTGCTCAAACAAGCTTTCCCTGTCTCCCACCCTCCACACCTCTCCTATGGTATAAAACACCCTTATTAAATCCCTCATTCAGAAGCTCTCTGTCAGTACTGTTTAGTTCCATTCTTTACACCTGCCACAGTTGTAATTTCACATTTGTGTGATCATTTGCCTAATGCAAGCACAAGATAGATGCTCGGTTGTTTTTGAATGAGTAACGCTATGCTACGCTGCACAACCATACCTAGCTTTAGCCAGTTCATGTAATTGCATCTCCCGGCCTCCCCGAATGTGCTTACAACAGCAGTCTATGCTGTGAAGGATGGCTTTGTCCAGGCCTAGGGCTTTCCCTTCAAACAGCGAGATGGCAGTCTTCCTGGACATCAGCACGGTGAGGGCCTCCTCGGAGTCGTTGCCAGCCATCAGACAGTCTGCCTGGGAGGACCCCAAATCCACCTCCTGGGAATGGAGTCTTTCTGGAAGATCCGAGGTCTGCCCACGAAGATCCCCTTCAAATCCAATGGGCTTGGATGCAGACTTGCGGTCAGCAGTAGCTTTTGCAGACTTTAAATGAAAAGGACAATCAAGTAGATGGTATGACTAAGAGCGTGGTCGATGCTTTTCAACTAAACTCCCCTCCCCCTGCTGCTCCCTCACTATGCACATACACGAGGGCCTGCCGCTGTGGTGCAGAGGAAATACACCAGAGTATACAACCAATCACCTGGAGTGAGTGATGACAGAAGAGGGTGCACTTCTACAATTCTAAAGCAGTCTCTGGCAGGGAGGGCAATCTCAGCACCTTACTATTACAGGCTGGATGTTAAAGTTGAGATATCAGTACAGACTAACTTTTCTCCTTGAACTGAGTTTTCAAGTAGAGTATTTCAGAGTAATTCTTGGGACAGTATTATGAAATCTTCATTTAAAAAAAAAATATATATATATATTATTGATTTTGTACAGAGAGGAAGAGAGAGGGATAGAGAGCTAGAAACATCGATGAGAGAGACATCGATCAGCTGCCTCTTGCACACCCCCTACTGGGGATGTGCCCACAGCCCGGAATCGAACCTGGGACCTGTTTCAGTCCACAGGCTGACGCTCTATCCATTGAGCCAAACCGGTTTCGGCTAAAATCCTCATTTTCTAACCACCTTGTATTCACCTTTGGGGCAGGAATGAAGATTAGAAACCGCTACGGCCCTCTTCTCTTCACCTTGAGCTGCCGTTTCATTAGCTGATAACAGCTCTAATTTGTGCCCCCGCATCAGCCATCCTATTACTAGCATCAGCTCTGTGCTTATGCCACACAACTCTCATACCTTATAATTAAACAGAAGTGAGGTTTTACTGAAAATATTTAGCACAGATAAATATTCAAATATAACTCCCTTAAATTTACTTTCAAATATATGGACTGGTATTCTGAAAAATGGATGAATGCTTGCAGAACCAAAAGATCTGCCACCCAGATTTTAAATTTAGACTTCATTTCACCCACAGTTCTAAAACAGGATCAGCTTTAGCACTGTCAGATGGCAGGGACTGCACTGATCCATCAATTACGGGCCAACTTCTCCTGCAGGGACAAACCGTCTCCTCTCATGCCAGAGCCTGCGGACCTGCTCTTGCTTGCTCTGTGTGGCCAGCAGGTAGTGTTCATCATGAGGGTCCTCGGGGTCACCCTGGGACCTGTGCTGCAGAGTCGTCATTTTTTGTCCGACGATTCCAAAGGTTGCTGGGTAAAACAAAGCCATTGGAGCCTGCATGTGGAAGAAAAGAATAATCAGCTGAGATACTGCCTCTTGAAAAAAACTGACCCACTAAATTTTGTTCTTCCAAAAAAATAAAACTGGCAGATTAGATCCTAGAAGTTAAGATTGTGCAGTGTCCTTTTTGGGGAAAAGCATTATTTCTTCAGTGCAAACAGGCAGAAAACTCACTTATCATCTAATGAATGGGTGATATGATACCACAAAATCTCAAAGCAAATGTTACCTAGAAGAATGGGATCTCTCTCTAAATGACTTATCACGTAGTGACTAATTAAAAACATGGTTCTCAGATCTATTCTAAAATGAGTTAGTGAATAATCTACAACCAGTTCACATTCTGACCTCACATTCTGACCTCATGAGGTTTCCAGCATGACATGGAAACCTGGCTGGCTTTCTTTCTAGCCGAAAAAATATATACCCACACATTACCTGGAGTTTTTCATCTCCCAATCGAAACTGGTAAAGCAGGGCAGGTGAGTCTGGATGCCGAATCTGAAACTCATGGTCCTGAAGCCCAGAGATGTCCTGGTTCCAGGAAAAGATGCTGTCAGTGAATCAGTAAAAGTGCAGGTAAACTCCTCCAATTACAATGAAGCCTCCCTGCCATCTTAACCGTACCTATAAAAGGGCTGCCCTACAACTTTCTACCACACCCACTGGAACTTCATAAGAGCTTAATGGTGACTTGCTTTCTTTTTAACATTTGTGAAATTGACACAAATGTTAAATGTTTTGTTTTCTTCATTATCAATAAAATCTTTTCTAATAAAAGAGTAATATGCAAATTGACCATACCTCTGCTATACCCACAAGCATAACCACCAGCCACGCACACCAGTCAATCAGAGTGAGTATGCAAATTAATCCGAACCAAGATGGCTGCAGCCATAGAGAGCAGGAGGGAGGCTTGGGTTTCCCAGGCAATGGAAGAAGCCAAGCTTTCCGCCTGTCCTAGCCTTGGAGCAAGGCGGCTTTGCCCCACTCCTGGCTACAAAGTTTCAATTGTAGAAGATAAATAAATCCCAGATCCCAGGCCTCTGCTTGGGTCCCCGGGGGGCATGGCTGGCCTGCAAACCACCACAGACCCCACTCCCAGGCTGCCCTACACCCCAAGGGGACGCTCACCCAAACCAGCTGGCGCCCTCCCTCCCCCCATGCACCAGGCCTCTATCCTATCTAATAAAAGACTAATATGAAGATTAACTATCACTGAACACAAAAGATCAAGATAGCTGCACTATATGATCAAAGATCCTTCTCCCACATGGACACCAGATGGCCACCACAAGATGGCCAGCAGGGGAGGGCAGTTGGGAAGCACCAGGCCTGCAAGGGAGGGCAGTTGGGGGCAATCAACCCTTCAGGGGAGGGCAGTTAGGGGTGGCCAGGCCAGCAAAGGAGGGAAGTTGGGGGCAAACAGGCTGAAAGGGAAGCAGTTAGACATCAATCAGGCTGGCATGGGAGTAGTTAGGGGGTGATCAGGCTGGCAGGCAGAAGAGGTTAGGGGGAATCAGGAAGGCAGGCGAGCAGTTGAGAGCCAGCAGTCCTGGACTGTGAGAGGGATCCCAGATTGGAGGGTGTAAGCTGGGCTGAGGGAATCCCCCCTGTCCCCCAATCAATCAGAAAATGCTCTCAATAACTGAGAATGTTTCCTAGCTTTATATTTCTCAAAAATTCTTATCAGAATTATATTACTTGAAAAGGTGAGCCGAAACCAGTTTGGCTCTGTGGTAGAGCGTCAGTCTGCGGACTGAAAGGTCCCGGGTTCGATTCCGGTCAAGGGCATGTACGTTGGTAGGGGATGTGCAGGAGGCGGCTGGTCAATGTTTCTCTCTCATCGACGTTTCTGGCTCTCTATCTCTCTCCCTTCCTCTCTGTAAAAAAATCAATAAAATATATTAAAAAAAAAAAGAAAAGAAAAAGAAAGAAAAGGTGAAAAAAATATCTAAAAGAATATAAAAAGGTAGCAAACCATATACAGCAATGATAAAATGTTGACTTGTTCACAATCTGAGAAAGTGCTTCCAAAGGTGCCATTTTACTAAGTGTCTGTACCTACATATTACCTGCTACTATTCTTCACACATAAAGATTTAACTTCATCCTTCTTCAACCTATAGAGAGGTATCTGCTAAACTCTTAAAAAAACACACACACAAAAAAAAACAAGCCGTCTCCAGAGCCTGAGACACAGCTCTGACCTCACCAAAAGACTCACTCCAACAGGCTTCAGCTTCAAGGCTTTATCAGCTTAAGCTGAAAGAGTAGCATGATATTGTTACATTTTTCCTGAAAGCAAAAATAATCAATTCTAATTTTGCTCCCACCTGATCCAAATGACAGAAAGTTTCCTTTAGGTGCTGTAGAAGAAGGCAATCCATTTTATTTGTCAATTGGCATTCTCTGTAAGGGAATCCAGCTCGCTGCATCAGCCAGTAAAAACATCTTGATACGTCAGACCCTCCATATGCCAGACAGAGTCTAGAGTTAAGAGAAAGGGCAGATGGGTAATCTCCCAGTTCAGAAGGTGCAAAGGGTGATTCAAAAACTCTATTAGGCACAAAGAGAAAGTTTTAAGAAATGTTTTTGTTGTAGGAATAAATTAAAAGAATGAAAGAACAGCCCTAGCTGGTTTGGCTCAGTGGATAGAGCGTCAGCCTGAAGATTGAAGGGTCCCGGGTTCGATTCTGGACAAGGACATTTGCCCGAGTTGAAGGCTCAATCCTCAGTAAGGGGGTGCATGAGGCAGCCAATCAATGATTCTCTTTCATCATAGATGTTTCTCTCTCTTTCCCTTTCCCTTCTCTGAAATCAATAAAAATATATTAAAAAAAAAAAAAAAGAATGAAAGAACAGATAAATGGATGGGAGGGAGAAAGGGAACTCTGGAATAAATTAGTGGTAGAGCACCTAGAAGCAGTCATGCTATTTGCAAAAAATATCTAAGAAACAAAAGAACACACAATTAAGTCCAGCTCATTTCCAACATTCACCATTTGATAGTTGTTTGCCTATGTATATTCCCCAGCAAATAGAGGTGACAAACACCATAAGACAAAGTTATGGGAGAAATCTGTGAGGGTAATACCCACTAACTGAACGTGTCTACAATTTGGAAAGACCACTGCTACGTTGTTTTAGTGGTTAGAGAACTGAAATCCAGTGTTTTAACCTTGAAAACCACTGGTATTAGACAATATAAATAATGGATGAGCCAAACTAAATCATACTGGGCTTTAGAATGCTTTGTAACATGGGTTGGGAGGCAACACATTAACCTTTCTCATGGACTTCTTGGGACCTCTTTTGTATTTGTTTCTATACTTTGAGATTCACACTACCTAATGTAAGGGACAAGAATTCATGCTTCCTGGTGAAGCCACCTGGGAGCACTCAATGCTGCAAGGAGCCCACATGTGCACTACAGAGTGTGCTTGCTTATCTGACAGGCCTTGTCCCAGGAAGGACAAGCAGCAAACCTGCTAGTTATTTTATTGATTCTCCTATCAGCGATGACACAATAAGGGAACTACCCACCATAAAGTTACTCACTGAACACCATTTATGGCAAGAAAAGCAAATACTCAAAATGCTAGCTAGAGAACTCAAACCTGAAAAACCTATTTTCTCCTCCACAACTTGCCTAAATCAAGCTTTGTTGAGTGATTGGTGTGTCTAGGCCAGACCACAGCAAAAGACACAGAGCTAACTTATACGCTTCCTCTGGGACAGTGCAGCACACACTAGGACTTTCAGGAGCTGCTGTTGAACTTACACTACAGAGTCCCAAAGGAAAGGGTAAAATCAGTTGTCTCTAGTCTTGCTAGAATGTGCACTTCCACAATATTGCTGGTTTCCCATGCAAAATCGGGATATATAATTCCTTACAAATAATTTCTTTCTGACTTGTGATGCTTTATAGCTGAACAGATTGTGAGGGGAGAAGGAGGGCGAGTGCCACCTCCCATGTCCCTTACCGAGTATTCCGATGAGAGACTCCATCCTCCACACAGCATACACTTGTCTTCTGGTCCCCAACATCTACAATACACGTGCTGCTTAAACCACTTCCAAAAGTGGCACACACAGACTCCTGATGGACCACAATCCCTAAAACAAAAGGCAAAAGAGTAGGGAGCTGAGGAGCAGCAACATTCCTAAAACAAATCATCAACTAAAGCCTAGGAACTTCTGGGCAAATATCCAAGCATTGCCGAATCTCTCAAGTAGCTACTTCAATAAGGCAGTAAAGTGGATTAACTTTGTCAGTGAAAAAGAGATTCTCATTTCAAGTAGGCTTCACTTGAGTATCAGACATACCTGAGAAACCCATCTTCATTAGGATCATATTCACTAATTCTTTCACATGCTGCTTATTATAAATATCAGGAATTAACAAGATACACCTATAATACTAAGAAGAACAAAGAAAAAATATTAAACATTTAACATTACAATCAGGTCACAATACATTTCACCACACTTATATTCAAAGAGGAGTCTCTCTAAAGCAGAAGCAGAAATGGTTGGAGCCATATCGATTGGGCGACCAAGAATCTTAAAGACAATCCAAGTATGCTGAGACTGGTTTGGCTCAGTGGATAGAGCATCGGTCTGCGGACTGAAAGTCCCGGGTCAAGGGCATGTACCTTGGTTGCTGGCACATCCCCAGTAGGGGGTGTGCAAAAGGCAGCTGATCGATGATTCTCTCTCATCGATGCTTCTAATACTCTATCCCTCTCTCTTCCTCTCTGTAAAAAAAAAATAATCAAAAAAATATATTAAAAAAAAAAAGGCAATTCAAGTAATTGGGAATCTGAGCTCACCTTTAAATCTTTCAATGGAATTTCCAGGTATTTTTGTATTGCATGAGACCATATTACTTCAATATCTGCCAGAACAGCTGTAAGGGAGCCCCCAGGTCCTGGGTGAGTATTTAACTGCCCTCTTCTAATAGGCCAGTGGATATTGTAACAGTCCTGTGGATTAACATACAAGGCCTAGAAGACAGGGAGATGAACACATCAAAACTCTTCTCTCAGGTTTTCTGGATTCACATTCAAAATCCTAAAGCAAGAAATTATCATTAACACTTGCTAAATGTTCTAAGTATTGAGGGTAGAGTATCTGTTAATTTAAGAACCAGCGTGACTATCTGGTCCTCAAAGTAGGATTAGGGAATGCCAGGGAACTAGAACTGGATGGGAAAGTAAATGAATTTCAGCATTAAGATGAGTTTTCTTCTTTCATTTCACAGTAAAGAAGTTTCCTACCTCTTCCCCTACCAAAAACTCAGGGTGGTGAGATGTGTTTGTCCATTTATTTCCAGAACAGTGATCTAAAATTGCAGGTCGCATCTGCTTGTTGTAGGAGCGTGCCTGAAATGAAAGTGCATCATTAATTCTCTGAATTTAGGCAAGGGAAAAGAAAGGCTGTGTAGTTGAGTCCTCTTTTTTCTTCTCCCTCAGGGACCAGCTATAGTGGCAAATTTTAATCACAAACCAATATACTTGGGGGAATATTGACTGGTAACAAAAGGATTCTCTTGCCCTTTTCCACAATCTAGATTTTCCCTGTGATTTATGACACCTAGGCAGTGATTCACAGCTAGTCCAAAATTAATACTGCACTCTACCTAAAGTTTAATACAAATTTACATATCATACTGACTCATAGCCATTCCTAATTGTATTGGTTTATTGCATTAAAGTATGGTAAGACTACAGCTTCCCAACAAGGTCTTGGAATTATACACTTAAGACTCTCAGGTAAACTGTAAACTTTATCAACTTGTGACAGGAAATACCATCTTATAAATCATTTGGCTTGCCTAAACATTTGTGACACTGATTCAGGTATTCAAGAGGTGATTAGGAACGATTTTTCTTCCTTTTTAAGAAAATCTCTTATTGCATTTGCATAATGAAATGGGTAGAGAACTTTAATAGCATTATGCTATACTAACTGTGCAAAAAGAATAAATCTGAAGAATTGAAACTGAACCTGTTCAGGAGACACAGGAATCCGTCTTGTACCATTTGACATCTTTTTAGACCATATCGCTTGATCCACCATTTTAAGACCATTTTGTCTTTGTTCGTTACTTTCAGGTTTCTGGGAAAAAAGAAGGAAAGATGAGAGGTACAAAGGACTTAGTGAAAAGGGAAGGCAACCTAGAAAACTAGTACTAATTTAATGCAGCAATGGGAAATGCTCCCTCGTCAACAAGTTGCTTCCCTAATCTGTCGTATGTAGTAATCTTCAGAATTCAAAGTAATTTTTATGTCATTTATAAATAAAAAATGTAAAAGAACCCTCACTATAAGCCAACTATTTGCAAAAATCTACTTTGAGTAACTTTGGGTTGATAAAAAAAATTTCATAATACTAATCAGAGCATAACTATTTTGCATTTACAAAGGATTTCAGAGACTCATATAATTACATCATTTCCATGTTGTGAATTTGTAACAATGTTATACTTCTTCATGTGTTATTTTGCTTAATCAACAAGTGTTCAAATTACTATGATACTGTAAAGAACATATTCACACATTTTTTGTAGAAAATTTTATTTTCTTTCAATTTTTATTCTCTAAAGTCGAATCACTCAATATGTGATTTTTAGGTTCTTATGTTATTAAGTTATATAGACTTAAGTAAAGTCTGCTAGATATGCTAAAAAATGGAACCCTAAAGCTTATTATCAAAATTACAGAAACTGCAAGTTCCTAAAACTACCCTTGATTTAAAACTTAAAAGTGGATTACAGTGTAATATACACATTTAACACTTATCACAAACTTTTCCTGATAATTACCATTGTAAAATAGGATAAATATTTACTGTATAAGGAAATACATTTTGTCTTTAAATTATTATTTGACCTAAGATTGTAATAAGTGCTTTGTATAGAAATTTAATTTGCTTATGAATTAAAACATGAATTTAAACTCCTCTAAATATCTGGAAGAAAAAATATCTGAATGCATCATTTTAAGTAAGTGATAAGTTTGTATCTTCCATTAAAAATCACTTTCCTCGCCGGGACCGGTTTGGCTCAGTGGATAGAGCGTTGGCCTGCGGACTGAAGGGTCCCGGGTTCGATTCCGGACAAGGGCATGTACCTGGTTGCGGGCACGTCCCCAGTAGGGGATGTGCAGGAGGCAGCTGATCGATGATTCTCTCTCATCGATGTTTCTAGCTCTCTATCCCTCTCTCTTCCTCTCTGTAAAAAATCAATAAAATATGTTTAAAAAAAAAAAAATCACTTTCCTCAATACCCAATTCATCCTAATGGGTTAAAAAACAATTGAATTGCTATATTTACTTCTTTACAATTTAAAGTTGTTAGCTCAGATGAAAAATGGTATTTGTAACCCCGAATGATGCTAGTATTTAAAAACATAAAGCTGTGAAGGTGTTTATTCAAGGTTATGCATATATTTGAATTTCTAAGGCTTCCCAAGGAGACAACCTTGGGCTTTCTCTCCAGGCCCTCCGTTTCTAACTTACATTCAGTCCTTCCCTTAGGAGCCAGTTGTCTTTGTACAAGGGTTGCCCTTGTTGCTTGTGTCTTCGTGCAATGACATGAGGAATGCTGATAGGAAGTGTGTCTGTGGCTCGACCAATCCTTAAAGTTGTTGAACCCGGATGTATGACAACAATGAAGTTGCTCTGGATTTGCTGCAAATATAAAGAAGTGTGACCTTAGTTAGGTAATACACAGGTAACAAGTTAAACAACGTACAGGTAACAGGATAGACTAAAAGAGTTAGTTTCCTGTAACGGTCATCAGACTCAAAGGTATCAAAGTTAATTTAATACAGGGAGTTCTTTGAGAAGCATCCAATTAACTGATCTTTACCTGAATACAAACTCATCTCATAGTTTGTATTCCCAGGATCTAAGTACAAAGCCCAACAAATGTTTGCTTAAATGAACAGAACCATGATTATCCAATGCAAATTAACCTATTGGGCATTTCTATGCCAGGCACAATGGTGACTAAGACAAAGTCCCCCAAATCAGAGAACTTTCCATTTACTAGGGAAGATAGTTAAACCAGGAATAAGAGTAGGGAAGACTCTGAATAGTGAAATTTGGGGTTTCCTACATCTGAATCACCTAAAGATGCTTGTAAAAAAAAAAAAAAAAAAAAAAAAAAAAAGCTCTCTACACTCTCACTACAAATTTTGTTCAAGATGAGATAGACTTAATAGCACAGGTGCCTCAGAGGACATGGAAAAACCAAAGGGTGTGCCTAGCCGGTTTGGTTCAGTGGTTTGAACATTGGCCTACGAACTGAAGGGTCCTGGGTTCAATTCTGATCAAGGGCACGTACCTGGGTTGCAGGCTCAACCCTCAGCAGGAGGCAGCTGATTAATGATTCTCTCATCATTGATGTTTCTCTCTCTGAAATCAATAAAAATGTTTTAAAAAAACAAAGGGTGTTAAACAGCTGACTGGAGGTCAGGAGATGTTGCTATAGTGATAAGGACCCAGGCTCTGGATTCAAAGACCTGGCTTCAACTGAAGCCGGTTTGGCTCAGTGGTAGAGCGTCGGCCTGCGGACTGAAGGGTCCCGGATTCAATTCAGGTCAAGGGCATATACATTGGTTGCAGGCACATACCCGGTGGGGGGTGTGCAGGAGGCAACTGGTCGATGTTTCTAGCTCTCTGTCTCTCTCCCTTCCTCTTTGTAAAAAAAATCAATAAAATATTAAATATTAAAACAAAAAACAAAAACAAAAAAACAAAGACCTGGCTTGTATGACCTTCATAATATGTCCCCTGCTAATACCTCCATTCTCATGTCTCGCTCCCTTTTCTCCCTCAATTCCAGACATCTGTATCTCTAACACTTCATATCCTCTCAGCCCAGGTCTCTTCCCTCCCTGAGATTTCCACCTCCCCACCCCTTAGCTAACTCTAATCATTCTTCAGATCTTAGTCCAGATGTCACCTCCTTTGCAGAAACCATTCCTGACCATCAGTGCCGGAGGAGGTACCTGCTGTGCTGCCCAATACTTCCTGTGATGCACTAGCCCACCCCACACCATGCTCAGATACCAGTGACCCCAACAGTCAGCGCCCCTTCAGACCTCGCCCTCAGAGTGGGAGAATCCTGGAAGGTGGGTACCCAGCGGTCTGCCTCTGAGCCTGTTAAGTGGAAAGACTGAGTCGTCAACAGTAATAACCACCTGAGGCTGACCAGCTGCCGGCCCTGGGCCCTGTGCTTCCAGCTGGACCTCAGGGCATCATCCTTCTCCGTCCCCCAGGAAGGAACCAGCCTCAGAGGCGTCCACCAACAAGGTCTGAGCACTGACATGCCTCCTGATTTCTGCTGTGAATGGACATGACCTTTGCCCATTTTCCTATGGGAATGCGGGTGTTTTCTTCACTGGTTATTAGTAATGTGATATATATATATATATATATATATATATATATATATATATATATATAGTCTAACATCACATGGTCTAACAATCTTGCTTTTCGCGGGTGTGTGTGGATTAAATAGGTGGTACTGGGATCGGTCCTGCCAGCAATATCCTGTTTTGAGTGTGTGTATTTATATACATATATAAAGGTCCTTTGCTTACCATTACTGCAAATAATTTTTTTCTGGTCTAACTTAATCTTGTTTTTCACACACACGAACCCAATGTCTACATAGACAAATGTTGCTTTTATGCTTGAAATGACCTCCACTAACTGAGACTTCTTTAACACAGAAAAAGGCCTGAACCTCTAACTGCCCCGTACTAGGGTCGGCATGCACTCCCTGTGGCCAGGGCGCTCAATAGTACGTGCGACCGCCGCGCCCTCACGGGACTCGGGGGGTGGGTGACGGCCGGGAGGCGGCGGCTCGCTCGGCGGGTGGTGCTGACGGACGGCGGGGACCCAGCGCACCACGACCCGGAGGAACGAGACCCCGGGCCCGAGGCTTCCGTCGCAGCCAGCCCCGCAGCCGCAGCGGGTCCGACGCGGGGAACCCGCCCTCCCGAGCCCCGCCCTCGGCGCCTAACCTCCTGCAGCGACTCCGGCACCTGCGCGGGCACGATGGGCCGCTTCACTCCGCGCTGCTCCTTCTCCTTCTCCCCGCCCTTCTCCTTCCCGTTTTCCGCGTCCCCCTTCTCCGCCTGGGTCATCGCGGCGGCAGCGCCCACGAGCTCCCAGCTCCCGCGCCGCGCCACACCAGCCGGAACTGGAGGCCCCCACCCCCCGCGCAGGCGCAGTCCCCGGCCGGCCGCCCACAGTCAAGATGGCCGCCGGGGCGTCGCCCGCAGGATTCCCGGAAACGGAAAGGCGGGGCCGTCCGCTGCGGGATGGGCTAGCGGGTGTGTGCGGATTAAATAGATGGTACTGGGATCCGTCCTGCCAGCTATAACCTGTGTTTGAGTGCTTACTATGGACCAGCCATACCGGCATCTCATTTCGTCCTCACACCCGTCTGTCCTGGCAAAAGGATTCCCAGACATCAGGCATGGCTTCTATTTCACAGGCCCTGCTCAGCCAAGCCAGACGTTAGGGTTCTCTGGAGCTGGGCCACCTCTCTACACACTTCTTGGATGACCTTATCCGGTTTTATGGCTTTAAATATAAAGATAACACCCAAATATATATTTTCAGTGTGGAACCTTTCCGAGATCCATTGATTATTTGGTACCCCCATTTGGATGTGGACAAGGCATTTATGTCCAAAATGGAACTCAATTCTCTCTACACGGTGCCCTCAACACCCCCACCCTAAAAAAAAAAACAAACCTACTCCCACTTTTGCCATCTCTGTAAATGTCACTTTAATATCCCCATTTCATGGCAAATAGGGTTGAATAAACTTATAAATGGATATAAAAATTCTTTTATCTTAACACTTATCTCGGTTACAAAGTCTTTTAAACATTTTAAATAGAATTATCTGTATTATTTATTCTTCCAATAAATATTTCAGTGCCTATTACATGTCACTGTTCAAAGTACTGGGGTAAAGACGACAAAATCTCTAACCTCATAGAGCTTCCATTTTGGTGAAAGAATGTGAGTTATCAGCATTCCAGATAAGGGTTAAAGACAAAACTCTTTAGAATTAAAACTTGTCTATATAGCATTGAAGTTTGTATGTTTAAGGACCATTAGTCTTCATTTTGTAGCTCAAGTTTTGTTGGTTATGGCTTTATAAATACTCTGATAATTGTATATAGCAGCAAATCAAACACCTTGTATTAAAAACTTCCGGGACAAACGTTTTTATATAAAAATTCAAAAACACAGATATAAACACTGAAATAAATACATTGTGATTTATTTATAAATGAGAACAAATTAACATGAACACTTCCAGAAGTTGAAAAAGGACACCAACAGTACTAAATACATAGCCTTTTAATTTTCTTCAAATTTGGAGTTTTAATTATATAAAGATGAGTAGTTAATTATGTAACCTAAAAATATTTACTTATTAAACTATATTAATACTTTCAATAACAACTATACAAAAAGATGAGACAAACATGTGCATTTATAGAATTGTATGTCAGTCATGCCAGATCCCTGTGAGGGAATTCCCAACACGACTTCATTCGTCTGTGAGGACACAGAGTAATTCTTTAGACAGACACATTCATTTACTTGTCCAGCCTGGTCAGCCCTCCACTGCTTGATGGTTTCCTTCCTCTATGAATGTGCATGTCCAGTTGTCTGCTTCTTAGAGCAGACATTTACCTAAAAGAAAGCGTTATAATAATTAGTTGTTAGTTATTCATTCAGATCTGTCTGAAAAATCCAACAATCATTTCATGTTATAAACCTGTTTCAGAAGATATTTTCATAATAAAGGCAAAGGATTTTTCAAGGATTAGAATAGAAATATTTTTACAAATAATGTTAGGCAACTTCTACTTTCTTAAAAACCTTCCTAAGGAGGCATTTACAAAATAAAATCCCTGTAGAATAATTTCAAATTTTAAGTTACCGTCCTCATCCACCAGCCATTGGAGGAGGACTGGGGCCACGCAGATGATTAATTCGACCCATTCTTCTGGGAGGGTTTCCTGGGGGCCTAAGAAAAGAAAAATTAATTTCTACTGTTTAGCAGACATCTTACATGGGTTCCTTTTAAACACTCAAACAGACCCTTTTATTTAAAATACCATTTAGGTAAAAAATTCAAACTTTGACAGGGGCCAGACATATAAATTGAATGAGAAAAGTGAGTCAGGCAAGGACTATGATGAACTAAGCGGCACTTCCTGTAAATGCCCAAATAAAATCCAGCTCCAGTTGATTTTTGCCACATGGAAACACAAACCTAACCCCTGCTGCTTGATCTTCTGAGTTCTTCATTAGCAGCTTGAAATCTAAAGTGAAATCTCTAGATTTCAATGTTGGCTCTCAGTTTTCATCCTCTAACTTAGATATTTCCCATCAGATATATGATGTACATTTTAGCTTTGTCAGGCTGACTATATTATCAAATCAGAGGCAACTTGACTTATTTACAGTAATGTATTAATTTTGTGAAATAGAATTTAAACCGTTAATTTATATTAAGCCTGTCTATCTAATCAACCTAATTTAATCTGATTAAAATACACCGAAGGGTAAAAAAAACACACACCTATTATCAATTTAAAAAGCTATATCCTCCTTTGAGGCCGTATAGAAACCTGGAGAGTATTATGCTAAGGAAAATAAGCCAGTTAGAGAAAGACAAATATCACATGATCTCAATGTGGAATCTAATAAACAAAATAAACTGACGAAGAAAAACGATCCAGAAACATGGAAGCATGGAACAGACGGATGAATCTCAGAGAGAAAGGGAGGGTCAGGAAGACATTAACCAAAGAACTTAGATGGGTGCATGCATAACCCATGGACAGACAATAGTGCAATGAAGGTAAGAGAGGGGGTGAAAGGAGTCAATGAGGGAAGGAAAGGGGGACATCTTTAAAACTTTCAACAATAGCCAAGACCGGTTTGGCTCAATGGATAGTGTGTCAGCTTGGGGACTGAATGGTCCCGGGTTCGATTCTGGTCAAGGACATGAACCTTGGTTGCAGGCATATCCCCAGTAGGAGGTGTGCAAGAGGCAGCTGATTGATGACTCTCTCTCATGGATGTTTCTAACTCTCTATCTTTTTCCCTTCCTCTCTGTATAAAATCAATAAAATATATTTTATAAATAAATAAATAAACAAATAAATAAATAAATGACTAAAAAAATAAGTAAAATAAAATGAAGTGGGGGTCAAACTACCATGATCTTGGAAGTTTATTCATTTTCCCCTTAGAGTTAAAGGTCTAAGATATAAATATTATAGATATAAAAATAAATAAAATTAGCCGAAACCGGTTTGGCTCAGTGGTAGAGCGTCGGTCTGCGGACTGAAAGGTCCCGGGTTCGATTCTGGTCAAGGGCATGTACCTTGGTTGCGGGCACATCCCCGGTGAGGGTTGTGCAAGAGGCAGCTGGTCGATGTTTCTCTCTCATCGATGTTTCTAGCTCTCTATTCCTCTCCCTTCCTCTCTGTAAAAAAAAAAATCAATAAAATATATTTAAAAATAAATAAATAAATAAATAAATAAAATTAAAAGTTGTACCCTCTTCCATCATCATATCTGGAATCAGATGAGTTTCCGTAGCCTCTTCCCTTTTTCACATCTTGCTGAAGCAGAGTTTTGAAACTGAAACAAGGGGAAGAAAACAATAGAAGAACCACTTTCAGCATTATAAAATGTATTTCATGATTTCGACTATCATCTCTGAGTGGAGTTAGCTCCAAACCCACATTTTGAAAAGCCATTGTGACACCAGCAGCTAACACAAGCAGTTGTCTAAACAGGGTTCACTATGTTTGGTGCCAAAGCCGCCCTTCCTTATCTTCTTATTTGCTGATAACTCTCCTAGACAGTCATCCCAACTTCTTCCTCTACATCTGCTGTCCCGCCTCAGTCTGTTTTTAGAGTATTGCACATTCATTGCTCTTGCATTTCCCCCACCAATAGCCTACCTTCCATTACCTTGGAGAGGGAAGGGTTAACAGTGGTATGCCAGAGGTATAGACCTTCTGGAAATCCATTTAAAAGAAATTTTATTTATGAAGGAGGACGAATTTAACTACATTAAAACTATTTTTAACAAACAATACAGAATACCGTAGGTAAAATTTGTAAAACCATAAAGTTTTGCCCTGGGTAACTTAAGTTGGAGCTGTCGCTTCCATTTTATTCTTTCTAATTTATGATACATGCAGCCACGAGATTAATCTTTCTAAAACATAGCAATACTCAGATTAAGTATAAAGATCACAGACTGATATTCAAACTTCTTTGACACTTTTTCTATGTTTCTCCCACCTGGAATAACGGCCTCTGATGTCCACCTCCCACAATCATGCCCACCATTCCCCCATATAATATAAAGATATTTACTGATATTAAAGTCAATGAAAGGACTGTCTCCCACATCTATGCCTCCCTATATTTCTCTATCCACAACACATTCAAATATATATTCAAATTTAGTATAAGTAAGACTTGTTAGTAGTAAATGGATACTTTTCATAAAATACACAACAGGTGAAAAACCAAAAAGTGCATGTAAGTAAGAATTGATTGAAATTATGGTGAAGTTTAAATTTTTCTTCTCTGTATTGATTCTAACCTTTAATTACTGAAAAAACAAAAACAATGCCCTAGCTGGTATTGTTCAGTGGACAGAGTATCAGCCTGAGGACTGAAAGGACCCATGTTTGATTCCCAACAAGGACACATGCCCGGGTTATGGGCTTGATACCCAATAGGGCGTGTGCAGGAGCCAGCCGATCAATAATTCTCTCGCATCATTGCTATTTCTATCTCTCTCCCCCTCTCCCTTCTTCTCTGAAATCAATAAAAATATATTAAAAAAAATTAAAAAACAAAAAACCAACTTTGTATAATATTGAATAAAATTTGCACATACACAGTAAAGCTGGGAATAGACAGAAAGTGGGGTGCTGTCATTAGGTATTAGAATGGGCAGGCCTGGCTCCAGAGCTGCAGGTTGATATGATTACCATTAAGACTAAGGTATAGTCAAGCTTACCAACTCAACTAATATATGCATAATCATAAGATGTCTAGTGGCATTTCCTTTAGTAAAGCTATTAATTTAGAAAACATTAAAAACTGCTTCATGAAAGCTGAGCTTGTTTATGATATGAACATAATGGTACCTAACATA